CTTCATCAGTTACTGGTTAAGAGTGGCAACTTTCAGCATGTCAGAGATGCAGGTGTGAACCAGTCACGGTGTGCCTCCTACAAGCAAGTGAAAATACCTGGAGCAGCAAAATCAAGGAGCAGCAGGATCTAACAAGCCAAAACAATCATCTCAACAAACCCAGTGGACAGTGTAAATGATGGTTGAAAGATTACTACAGTTTTAAAAATCAAGTAACCTGACACTCATTACAAGCACTGTTTTTACAGCTGCAGGTTCAAGCAGTAATAGAAAGTTTAGACTTGGAGCCAGGTCTGCGCACAAATGGAGATTTGACCCACAAGTAGCTGATCAGTCTGTGGACTAGTGACCAGCTATCAATGCTAAAAGCATTTTCTGCCTTCCATCAACTGTGATAGCAGGACATCTTGGAACAGTGAATAAGATGGAAAGAAGTGATCAGATTACCAATAGTTCAGGACCTGCACCTGTTCTCTGCAGCAAATCCCACTTTAAGCCTGAAGACAGGTTTTTTTCTTCCTTCAGCTGTTGTTGTAAGCTTGAACTTTTATTTAAAGTCAGAACTGTTGCAAGTGTGAACCAGCCACCCTGTACCTCCAACAAACCAGCATTTTAACTAGTAGAGAGTTATGTGTTGATGGTTCACAACTGTATATGCGTAGCTAGAACCCATTTAATTCTAATAAATAATGATTCATAAACAAAAACAAATTGCTGGAAAAGCTCAGCAGGTCTGACAGCATTTGTAGAGAGGAATGAGAGTTAATGTTTCGAGCCGAGTGACCCTCAGAACTCAGATGCTGCCAGACTGCTGAGCTTCTCCAGCAATTTGTTTGTTTGATTTATAGCATCTGCAATTCTTTCGGTAAAATTTCTTTCATTAAAATAATAATTCATGTTAAGAACAGAAACCTAGTCAATGGTTTCTATCAACAGGTAAATTGGGAATTGTATGTACTTTTTAAAATCTTAAACTTTTATGACAACACTGGGAATAGCAAGGATTAATTTCTAATACGCTAGCCAGTGAGGCATAACAGGAGGAATTCATTTTCCTCCAGAGAATCATTAGCCCTTTGAATTCTCATGAGACCAGTGGAAACTGGGTCATTGAATATATTCAAAGACTGAGCTGGACAGATTTTCCTCAATGAGGAAGTTAAGAGTATGAGGGGCAGGCAGGAAAGTTGAATTGAGGCCACAATCAGATCAACATGATCTTACCAAGTGGCATAGTTGGCTTGATAGGTCAATTGTCTGCTTACTTATGATCTGAGGCTAAATAAAGCATTGTATGTGCGGGATAAGGCTGCTGACATATTGTCCAGGTCTTGCTGCACTGTAACATTACAATATGATTACAAAATGCTTTGGGATGTATGTCAGGGAAGACATTATATAATTTCAAGTGTTTTTTGTTTAATTCTGAAGGGCTTAAATCTGGCTTAGGAGCATAATAATGTACACTTAATCAAAGGCCTTTTGAAATTTCTTATGCATAATATCATCTACCCTGATCAAAAACTCAATCAGGTTAGTCAAACACCAACTTCCCATAATAAGGCCATGTTTATTCAAATGTTAGTTAGTTTTCACCAGGCTATGGTTTCTAAAAGCTTTCCTATTAGTAGTATTAATCTTTTAAATAAAAATCACATGGCTGGGAACAACTACCATTTGATGCCAAATTAACAATCTATTCAACAATTTCAGCTGAGATAATGTAAAAGGGTTGTGACGCCACAGGAATGGATTTCTCAGGTCATAAGTTCAGTACATGGGTGATGTCCTGAACTAGATGACTACAAGATTTCAGCTCATCGTCATGTTCCATCTGTAATGCAACTGGCCACGTTAAACTAGTAATCCCCAGGATTTTGAACGTGGGGGAACTCAGTAACAGTAATGCCATTGAATGTCAAGGGACAACAATTAGATTTGCACATGTTGGAAATGGTCATCTGCACTAAAACTAGTTAGCTAGAGAAAATTTATAACAGTGAAATCAGGGAATTTTCCATGTAATATTGAAAACTGTAATTAGCCCCCGACTACCTCATCCTCAAAATATCCCACCTCCCGATCCTGAAAGAGGACTCCACAAACAGATGACAGGACAGATCAATACAAAATGAATGTGAAAACATTCAAAACAGATCAGAAAGGAGAAATCAATAAATTACACACAAAGAATCAAAATGTGATCTGTTGTTTTTTTTAAGAAAGCTGCCTAAATTAATTGGATTAATTCACACTACCAATAACGATGGGAATTTTTAGCTTAACATTAACAATTTTAAGTTTTGAATAACTTTGAACTGATATTGAAGTGCGATTCTCTTGGCAGATCAGTAATGCTTAGTGAAGGCTACATGATGTACAAGTTGGAAACATTTCAGAATTGACTAGAAGCCCAACAGAATGAGCCTTCATTTTAGCACTTGGTTCCAACCAGCTCATAAAACCATACATTTGAATATTCAACTTTATATTTAGAAATAGATCACAAAGGCTTTAAGTCAAAAACAAGTAGTAATCATCTGTGATCTTCTTTTTGAAATACCAAAGAACAAAAGAAAATGCACCTAAATCTGGACTTGGCTCAAAATGCTCATGGAGTCAGAAAGAGATAAAAGTGCAGTAAAAAATCAATTAGTAAGCTTCAAAAGCATATATGACACTTGTTTGCCTCACTTTTACATCATTAAGTATTAGCTAAAGATTTCCTTGGAGAAAGCTTTTCTCTTAGCGGCATGGTGGCTCAGTGGTTAGCATTGGACCCTGGTTTCCTTTGGGTGCTCCAGTTTCCACCCACCATCCAAAGATGTGCAGATTAGGTGGATTGGCCATGCTAAATTACCTATAGTATCCAGGGATGTGCAAGCTAGGTGAATTAGCCATAGGAATTAGCCATGGGAAATGCAGGGTTACAGGGATAGGGTTGGGGGAGGGGGGGTGGTGGTTGGTGGTTGAAGAGGGGCGAGATGTTCTTTGGACAGTCAGTATGGACTCGATGGGTTGAATGTCCTACTTGCACACTGTAGAGATTCTATGATTATTCTCTTCTGAAGCAGCAAAGAATCCAGGAACCTACAAAATTCAAAGCGGAAATAACGAATACCAAACTATGCCCCCGAAAGCTATTGAGAGAAAGTTTGTAAAGGATTTTAGGTAGGTGGAGGGTTGGGGTGGGTCAGATGAGTGGTTGGTTCAGTTTGGAAGTTTGTGGGGGGCGGGGCGCAGTGGTCTAGGGTGCAGGGAATATCATGTCTGCCAGGATTAGCATCTGGATGTTGGTAGTAAGCAAGAGGAGAAGTTCTCTTTGGTCAGTCACAGGTTGACTTCAGCAGTTAAGGAATTAAGAGCAGATTTTAATTCTCACTTTTCCTAACCATTAAGCTCAAATTAGTTGGAACTTTGGAAAAGACCACAACATAACTGACTTTGTTTTAATGTATCTCAATTTATAAATATTTACCTACTGTGAATTACCAGGCTTATGTCCATGATTTTGTACTTTAATTCCTTGTCTGATATTTCCTATCACTTTACAATATCCTGGGCAGAGGGTGGGGGTTACCATTGAGCAGAAACTCAACTGTACTCTTCAAATAAATTGTGGCTACAACAGCACTTGGAATACTGTAGCAAGTTACTCACTTCCTGACTTCCCAAAGCTAGTCCTCCATCTGCATAATACAGAAGTCAGGAGCACGCCAGAATATTCCCCTACTTGCCTGGTTGAGTGTAACTTCAACACTTAAGCAGCTTGACACCATCCAGGACAAAGCAGCCTGCTTGACTGGCATCACATCCACAAATATCCACTTCCTCTACCACTGATACTCAGTAGCAGCGGTGAGTATCTACAAGATATGCTGCAGAAATTCGGCAAAGATTCTTCGACAACACCTTCCAAAAGGAGCAACCACTTCTACCTAGAAGGATAAGAGCAGCAAATACATGGGAATACAACCACATGCAAGTTCCCTCCAAATCACTTACCATCCTGACTTGGAAATATATCACCCTTCCTTCAGTGTCACTGGGTTGAATTCCTAAAACTCCCTACCTAATGGCACAGGGGAGGTCTACTTACATCACACTGATTGCAGTGGTTCAAGACAGCAGAACCTTCACCACTATCTTCCATTAAGGCTAATTAGGGATGGCAATAAATAAACATTCGCGTCAGACTGAGTTAAAAGAAACAATTTTTGGCACAGTGACCATTCAAAAATGGGAGACTATTATAGAAAAAAAAACTATTATAACACAAAAAAAAATCAGTGTTCTAGGACACACAAGTAAATATTAGGACAAAATAATGAAATAGACAACTGATAATTGCTAGCTGAAAAGAAACCAGGCAACTACACTCTAAATTTCATAATCAATCGTGAAAACAAAGAAAGGAACAGCAGGAAGTTACACTGGTTTATGCTGCATTAAAACAGAACAGGAGGGGCTCAGTGGAATGTGCAACTGCTTGGATGGAGAATGAGACTTTTTTTAAAAAAAGCATTTTAAAACAGGATGTACATGGATGCATTCAAATCCCTTTTTTGTTGCACTTTCCAAACTCTGAATCACATTGCGAAGACAAGCAAATGACGAACAGACCATTTGAAGAATATGTCCAAGTGGTTTACAAACAGAGATAGTAGGAACTGCAGATGCTGGAGAATCCGAGACAACAAGGTGCAGAGCTGGATGAACACAGCAGGCCAAGCAGCTTCATAGGAGCAGAAAGGCTGATGTTTCGGGCCTAGACCTCTAGTCTCTTGTTTACAAACAATGTTGTTTCTCTTTTTCTCCTTAAAATATTACCAAAAACTTACTGTGAAAATGAATGTACCTTCAACTGTATTATTAAAGAAAGCAAATGTTGCAACTAATTCTTAAATCAAATTATACATTAAAATTTTTAGGGTGTGAAAAGATGCAGCATTTTGTCAGAATGCGTTGATGAAATGACAAGGTGTTACATGGAGCATAACTAGAATGGGAATATTTTCACCTTTTATTGAAATGGGTGTTGCTTCATATTACAACAAAATTATCAAACTTTCTGTAGAAACAAAAATCACATATCTTTGATTTGAAAATAATTAAAAAACTCTTTGAACCCAAACCAGAAATAGATACAAAAAAAAGAACACCTGCCCAATACATTGTTGCACTTTGGTTCCAACCCATCAATTATGCACAATAATATTGTAAAATATACTTCAAAGGAGGGTCATGCAAAAGGACTAGGCCGACATATCTTGAACATTTCCTGTCAACTTTTATACTTGCATGTAGCACATTTTTGACAATATTGTGCAACCTTTTGTCAAATGTTTCCTTTCAGCATATGAATCTAACAATTTTCCAAAAAAAAAAAAAAACAAAAAGATTATGTCAAAACCCTCTGCATTTCCCTACATCACTGTAGTTTCTGGTTGGGAGGATGAACAAAGTACCAGTGTTCACTAACCCTTTCCTTTTTTAACTTGCAATAAATATTGACACAAAAAGGGCAGTGCTTCATGGAAGCTAATCAAAGATATTGAGCTGCAAAGTAACAAATATTCTTTTACTTTGCTCCCCTTCCTTTTCATTGTCAGAAGAGTAAGGTCAAAGCTAAAGAAAGCATCATAGAGCTCTTTGCAATACTTAGGTGCAATAATTATTGCCCCAAAGAAATGGCCATGTGCACAAGCTTTATTATTTAATATATAAATATCCCTTAGGCAAATGCTAGTAAATCAGCAAAGATTTGTCCCCTTACACATTACTGTAAACAATCAGGAGTGTTTATGGAGTTCCCTTGTTGCATATAATTTGCAAAAAATCAACAGGGTTATTCAAACATTCAGCAGAGCAAATGACAGGCAGGCCCCTCTCATTCAGTCTGCTGGGCTGGGTGTCCTATCAAGTTATTAGACAAGCACAACGGTTAACCCTTTAGCATGTCCTCATCACTGTCATCATGAAAAGTTACATTTGTGGAGTCATTTTCTGGCCTGTTTCGCTTCATTTGTGGTTTCAATTTTCCCTTTGTTTCCTTCTTTTCATTATTTAAACCAAGTAAATCCTCATCGCTTTCATCATGAAAGTGCTTATTCTGTGGATGCTGCTGCTTTTGATTGCCCCTGATCTTGGGCTCTCCTGTTCTTGTAGAGGTGATTTTCACTCGTGGCACAGTCAAAACCTCATCTTCACTGTCTGGATCATCCAGTGGGAATGAACCGAAGACATCAGCGTTTACAGCTTTAGTGATATGGTTCAAGCCATTTTGCTGGTACTCCTTTGCTGGTTTCTGTCCATTCTCAGATGAGGAGATTTCTTCCATCAACCATTCAGTCTCATTTTCATCACCGCCCTCTTCTCCATTAATCTGATTGGAGGGAAAAAATGTAAAATTACTTCCCATCCTGATTTTACTGTGATCCTAGCCAGAATATTTTTAACCCTGCCTTTCAGTGTGTACACTAGAATTCCGACAGAACAGCTTCAATTAATCTTATTTCAATGGTCACCCAATGCTGGATACCCATGATTAAATGGCAAAGGATAGATATCCAGCTGGCAGGAGAGTTAATAGATTTACTAATTATTCACCTGTTGTGCAACACAGTCTTGATGCTAGCATTTCCATTCTGTAGCTTAATATTCCATTTAACAACTTGCATTAAGCTGATACATATTTTTCTGCAAGCATGACTCCTCAATGGTGCTACTTAAAGGGATCAAACTGCTTACATTTTAGTTGATGACTGATTTCCTTTGGCTATTGCTAAAAAGCTGTATGATAAACTCACTGAAAACATGAAACAAAGGTCTGTAGAGATTAATATAGCAGGCTTTTTTTTTGGCTGACTTCTATGGTTTCTACACAAACCAGCTGCTCCCAACCTCCAAATACTGGTATACAGGTCAGCCTTCCTCCTGGAGTCAAGCACAACTGGGAGAATCAGTGGTCACAATGCAGGGAAGAGAAAAATTCTCATAGGGGGCCATATCTACCCAAGGTGACGAGGGAGCAATTCCCCTACCTGAATTTTCAGGGAGGGAAAACGTGTGATATTGGAACTTCTTAATTAAGTCTTCACTGAAAAGGTGTCAATTGCTGCAGTCACAATTCTAACTTCAGGGCAGAGGGAAGAGCACATAGCGAGTTGGTGTAAAGGTGACCTGGGCGACCAACATTTACGTATTTGGGACAGGAGTTAAAAACTTGCAAGGTGCCGTCCACTATTGCACAGAGGCCACTGAGGCTCTCTATTGAAGGACAGGTAACAGCATTCCACAGTTTCTTGCCCAAGACATGCAGATGGATGGAGCACAATTGTTTTTTTCCGTTGTATGAACTCTGCATAATGGGAAGCAGTGACCACAAGTACACAAAAGTAAGAAATAGGATAAGTTACCATATAGTCTGTGAGGTCTGCTCCATCATTCAATACAATCATGTTGATCTTCAGATTCAACTCCACTTTCCTGCCTGATCCCTTTAACCCTTATTTTCCCAGAGACCAAAAATCTGTCTATCCTAGCCTTAAACGTATGGAAATTCTTCAAACTTGAGCAAATAAAATTCTCACCTCAGTCTTAAATGATCAACCAGCTCCTTATCCTGGAATTGTACCTGATGTTTTGGATTCGCTGACCAGCGGACATAATCTTTCAACATCTATCCTACCAAATCACCTCAATCTTTTACAATTCTAAACCCCAATGAAGCTAGATTAATTTTTCAAAAGTTTGAAATTTTGATAATGCCTCAGTAATAAAAACTAAGCGATAATGATACTAAGATGTAGAATAGATGACTTATAGGCCCTATTTATCATCTCTGTCATGTACTGGGGTGGATTGCACTCTGATATGCAGTTGTTTAAATCATTGGCCATGCATTAAGCAGGTTCATAAAAATATATTCTTACCATCTCCACAACATAGCAGTTGGAATTACCCAATTTTACTTCCTCTAATGATCATTCTAAATACAGATCACTGTATAAAGAAATACCTCCTAACATTGGGCTTGAAGCTGTCTTTCTGAGCTGGTGTAGATCGACTTCTCCAACAGTTGTGGCTGACCTTCTTTCATGAAAGCACCGCAACTGAAGATCATACGCTCCTGTGAGCCTGTACCACCATTCAATAAGATCAAGGGTGATCTGCAACATAGCTCATTCTCCCAATACCTTGGGGTAGCAAAACCGAAGTTTTAAATTTAACAATTTACATCGTTTCAATTGTTGTTTGTGGAGGGGAGTTACAAACTATTACCACTGTATTTAGAGATTTTTTTTTCTAATTTAATTCCTGAACTAGTTCTAATTTTTAGCCATTTGTCCCTGTCATCATGCATTGGGGTAGAGTGCTGGAAATCAAGCCCCACTATTCCTGGAATTGTCACAAATGTGAAAATCAGAGGAACCTGCCAAATTGCCCAATCTTATCTGCCTATTTCAATTTAAAACAGCATACACACTATGCATCTCCATTAACAAACAAATAACTTTATTGTAAACAAACTGTTTCTAATTATCTTTCTCTGCATGTTGACTATATTTGATGACCCTTGAACTCAGCATTCCTGTGTTTGAGCAATCCAACCTACAGCCATACCTCTCTATCTACTAGCTGCATGAATCATATTACGTTACATCTCTCATGCCACAATCTTCAAATCCAGTTTCCCAGTCAGGTTCACCTTCTGCTCTTCTCCTCTTCCCTACAACCTCGTCACCCCACCTGGCCGAGCTCCTGGTCTTCGCACCCTATTCCTGACGGAGCCATACAAACCCGGGTCCAGCTCCTGATCACTCCCACTATTTCTATAATTTCAGCCACCATAATATTCAAATAGAATTTCTCTTGCTGTAGATTCAGGTCTGCGATTCCTTTTACTGCTCAACTCCCTTCCTACACCTACCAAGCAGAAACTCACTTCACCTTCTCACTTAGTCATGGTCAGCCCTGGTTGTGATAATGCACTCAGATAAGTCAGTATGTCATGAATCAAAGCTTCACTTCAGAAACTGAAGCACATCTTAAGCACCACTATAATGCAACATTGAAGGCGTGCTGTGACGTCCTCTCATTTGAAGAGGAGAAATTCTACACTTAGCATCCTCTATTTGAGCAGATAATATAGATCCCTTGGCACCTTTTGAAGAACAATATTCTGATCATTTGTCTCTCATCCAATAATCCAAAATATTTCAGAGATAGTAGGAACTGCAGATGCTGGATGAGAGACAAATGATCAGAATATTGTTCTTCAG